AATGTTCATGCTTTAAAAAATTGTTCACGCTTCAAAACTTGTTGAAGATTTTTCAAAATTATTCTTCATTTCCAAAATAATTCTAAAGATTCAAAAAATATTCGTGCTACAAAAAATAGACCACGCTTCGAAATTTGTTCTCAAGATTCAAACATTGTTCGTGCTTTAAAAATTATTCAGAAATTCCAAAAATGTTCATGTTTTCATAAAATGTTTGGGAAATTCAAAATTTGTTCATTTTCATAAAATTTGTTCACATATTCAAAAATGTTTATGTTTTGAAATGAAGATCATGAACAATTTTGGAGAAAGGGAACATTTTTTGAAAAAGCAAATTTACAAACTTTTTCAAATTGCAAACATTTCTTAAAAACACAAACAAGTTTTGAAACATTAACATTTTTTAAAAAAATGGAACCAAGAACATGCACAAAATTTTGAAAATCTGAACATATTTTGAAATTCAGAATATTTATTAATAAATAAATACAAAATTTGAAATTCTAAAAAAAATAAAAATGTGAAATTTTTTAAAAACAATTATTTTTTCTGAAAATATGAACAAATTTTGAAATCCTGAACAAAATTTGAGAATTCTCAAAATTTTGAATTTATGTAAATTAGAAAAAGGAACAGAATAAAGGAAAAAAGGAACAAGGAAAAGAAAAAACATTTAAGAAAAAAGAGAGAAAAAAGAAGTAGCAAAAAAATTGGAAAAAGAAAAGAAAAACCTGGTTTAGGAACCTCCTAGAAGGTTCCCAAAACCGGAAAAGACCGGCTGAAACCTCCTAGAAGGTTCGCAAAACCTGGAAAGCCGAACGCGTTAACGGGCCGGCCCAGTTCTACGCTCGCTCAGGATCTCCTGTGCGATAGGTCGACATTCTGACGTAGAATGCGTCATATAAGGTTTTCCGGGAGGGCGATGCTAGGCGCCGGTGCGCCGGCCGAAAGTTTCGGCCGGTCGCACCCTAGCCGTCAGATCGGCCCGTCCCGAGCCGTTGGATCCTTATCCAACCAGGTTGTCGTCTTCCTCTCGCGAGCGCGTAACGAGCGTCGTCTTCCTCTCGCGAACCCCATCTAGTCCGCTGCCCGCGTTCCCCCTCGTCGCCGCCCCTCCCTTGCCTGCCCTCCTCGTCCCTGATCGGCGTCCTCGCCGGCCGTCTTTCCCGGCCGCCCTGGTCGCCGGTAGTCCTCGACGGCCGTCCTCTTCACCGGCTTCGCCCCCATGCAATAGCCCATCCCTGCGGTTGTAGCTTCCATGGCCACTATTGCAGCTCCGGTGGCGACGACCGGAGCTCACCGGCGTGCTCACCGGTGTGCTCGCCGGCGCTCATCCCCCGCTTGCGAACAAAAAAGATCGAGCGCCCAGAGAGATGCTCAGTGCTGCAACCTGCGACGAAAAAAGCTACAACTGGCGATAGAAAAAGCTTCAACCGGCTACGAAAAAAGCTTCAACCAGTATACGACTGGAGCTATGGATGACCAAGAAAAGTTACAACCGATGACAGAGAAAGCTTCATCTAGCGATGAAAAAAAGCTTCATCAGACTATAAAAAAAGTTTCAACCATGGAAACAAAAGCCATGGTCGAAAAGTTACAACCGGTGACAGAAAAAGCTTCATCTAGCGATGAAATAAGCTTCATCCGACTATAAAAAAAGTTTCAACCGTGGAAACGAAGCCATGGACGAAAAACAAAAAGTTGCAACTGACAGTTATAAAAGTTACAACTGCATTGAAAAAAGCTTCAAACTCCTTATCTCAGCTGCGACCCCGTGATGACGATGACGTCGTTTTGCTGCAACCGTAGTAGATTTTTGCTACCATCAGCGATTGAATTTGCTACAACCGGTTTCATCAAAAAATCACCGTGGGGTGTAGTCTGCCATGGCTCTGGCGAGGTAGGCAGAGCTCCGATGCATGCGAGGTAGGCGTCGCCGTGGTAGCACCCCGTCGCCCCGGTTGCAGCATCTCCCGTGGTCACCGCCCCTCGGTCACCGGCGAGATGGAATGGTCACCGCCCCTCGGTCG